CCCCAGCAATCCGCCGTCCCGGGCCCCCCCGTGTCCCTGAGTCTGTTTCCATGCTGGGTCTCCGTGAAGATTTTGAGCCCTGCCTTGAGCCTCCAGCTGTCGCAGGCGAGCTGCCGTAATGCGCCAGGAGGCCAAGTTGCCACCGTGTCGACGGAGTACCTTCAGGTCGATTTGAATTTCCCGTGACTGGGGGCACGTTTGAGCAGGCAGGTGACCATCGTCCTAGACGTCCTTCCTGGAATTGTACTTCTCGAGTTAGCTTTTAACCGTGGCAGTGTATCTCCCCTCCATCTTTCTTTATTCCTGCTTCCCTCAGGTTCTATTTTGCTTTCTTTGTTCTTGCTCTTTTTTGGGGGGGAAAAGTGGATGATGCCTTCTGTCTCACTGAGTAGGAAACAAACAGCACAGAACGAGGCAGGAAGGAAAACTAGAAAACAAAAACGTTAAGCCTTCCTTCTTCCCTCTAAAGTTCTAAAAATTCACTTGCCAGGAGCGCTTGTTCACACCAGTTTCAAACCTGTGCTAAAGATTCGTGGAAAGAAGCCAAGCAGCGAGAGACGCCAAAGGAATAGGGAACTGTTTATCAATTAGTTAAATGTAAAATCTGAAGTGTTAGGGCAATCTGACAGAGATTAAGACTTGGCGAAGGGGCAGAAGTACTTGGAGTCATTCCCTTTACGTTCTGTTGTACAGAACTGAGAAAATATTTGTTTAATGATTGTCAAGCACTTAGACTTTTCAGTGCTAGCAAATTGATTTATAATAAAAATATTTTGATGGACACCTGTTCAGTGCATATGGGCTTAGGAGCAGAAGTAGTTTAGCAAGGAGCACCGTGATCTTCTAGAAGCTATGAATGAGGACTTGGGTTTTGGGGAAGTCACGGTTTTGGAATGGAAATCTTTAGTGGGTAGCAGACAGTGATTCACTTGTAAGGTTCCAAGAGAGGGGTAGTTTTCAGAGCATTGGCATGACCGGGGAAGACGGCAGCTCTGACACGTACATCTCGTGCGAGTCTCCTAACACATTGGCCTCCCCAATTGAAACAAGCTTTTCAGTTGATATGACAGAGTTTGATTGGGAAAGATTGCCTGGAAAGATTTTATTTCTGTGGAAGAAAATAGTGCCCCAGGTCAGAGCAGCCAAATATCACTTGAGGCTTCCTGTAGATGATTTTAAAAGCTAGGTGTTTACTCATCTATTCGGAAATCCCAGGGCTCCCCAGGCCTGCTCCTCAGCTAACCTGAGAGCGATTTTGTGATCAGATGGAAGGCTCGACAGCGATGGGCAATTCTCACCGATGGCTCACTTATATTTTCTGCCCTTTTGTTCAAAAGTCCTGTGCCCCAGATTGATACAGCCTTTAAATTTAGGTGATTTACCTAAAGATCTGAGGGAGAAGTATTTCAAAGCCCGTAGATCGAGGTGCGAATGCCACTGTTAAGGCTCAATGCGTGTGTAGATGTTCTCACCAGCTCCCTGGGTGAACTAATGAAGCAGATGAGCCTACGGTTAGAGTCTGCAATATCATGGGCAGCCTGGAGCAGGGCCTCGCCCTGGCAGAGCCCATCCACTGACAGAGGATGCTCTGTGCAAGGGGATCTGTCCCGTGAGTGATCACAAAGATTACGCTTCCCTCCACATCAAAACTGTGCTACAGATGCAATAAAACATGACCTTTGCAAGTGATCTTAACCATGAAGACATCGTAGAGGCCGGTGTGGTTGAGGTGTGGGAGTCTCACAGAAACCACCCACCAAGTGAGGAGCTAGTGCAGCTGGAACAAGGAAACCCGCACGAATAAGGGGCTTTTATTGGTAACACTTCTATTGGGTTATAAAATAATTACCATGTTTTAGAGCTGTTGAATTATTCCAGTTTTGAATGTAACCTTAGATCTTTCAGGAAAAAAATGAACTGTTATATTCAGATATTACAGGGAATTGTAGAAGGAAAGTAAAGATTTTTTTTAGAGCAGGAATTTTTGAAATCATATATTGTCATTCCCTTTCCCTCCCCCTCATTAGTGGGAAATGAAGGCGTCTCTCTTACAATAGCATCAGTTTTTTTGTAATAAATAGCACCATATTAAATTTATGCAGGATTTAACATACTTTGTGAAATAGTTAATGTTTCATTTTAATGTAATTTTACAGTATATGTTTTAATACATTTTCTACATTCTTAAGTTAAGTATATTTGCTATCTTGGGACAACTTGCAGAGTTATAGGGGTTGGAAATAATTTTATATAAAACTGCCTCATATAATCTACTCTCAAAAAGCGGTTGTTAATTTAGAGACTTTATTAGAATGTTCTAAATTGGCGCACAGATTTCCCAATAGGTTAAACTTTATTGGGAGAATTGTTGAAGATCAAATAACATAATCTATATAAATGTCCTTAAAAGGTCATAGAGCATTATAAAAAATGCAATAGTTATTACTTGCATTGCCTTCAAAATCTCTGCTTTGCTTGGAATTTACCAGAGGTGAAAAAGGGGCAGAACAACTTGAAATTGGCGGTGGAAAGAAGGAGGTAGCGAGTGGGGCTGCAG